CACTGCTGTTGAAAATTTTACTTTCTGAATTTAACTTGTTGACAAACTCTGCTCGGAAGCATGATAGAGAGATACTAAGTAACATTGTTACTTTTTATTTACTCTGTTCCAATCATCTTCAGCTTAAAGTGGTGACCTTTGATTTGCATATAATGTCAGTTAAAGCAAATGTACAAGTAAAAAAAGTATTTTCTTAGTACAATTTGTTTTTATTAAACCCCTTATTATCCCTTAGTTTACCCTAGTTAGCCCTAAAATCCCTTTCCCTTTAGCTGTTTATTGTCCTGCTGATTTTTTCCCCCCTATTTTATTACCATTTATGTTTACACTTGTTTTTATTTTTATTTGATACATTTGAAGTGCCTCTTTAAAAAATGCAAATGCATCCGAATTTCCAAATTCAAATGCGCCCGAATGAGAACAAATTTGAATGCTCCTTTAACCACTGCCTGACCAATGACGGAATTATCCCGCCATGATCATTCAGTTTGTTAATGACCGGTGATAGGATAATTCCATCATTCATTACAATAAACGTTGGTCCCTAAAAAAAACAGCAGCTCATTGAGTTACTTCCGTTAATGGGTCCCCCAAGGTCCGAGGCAGACGCTCAACACCAGATTAGGTGGTCACAGTGCAGTGATCACAGTGAGAGCTGATCGCTGTGATCACAGAGCTGTGACAGTCACAGAGCCAGCAGCAGTTCACTGTGTTGTGTAAACTGCTTGCCGGTTATGTGTTATAAAAGTGATATAAAATATCTCTAAGGAGAATACTGTATTCTATTCAGAGATACTAAGTGTCAAAGCCCATGGAAACAAAAAAATAACCCCATAGTGCCCCTTAGTTAAAAAAATAAATACAATTTAAAAAAAAAACGTTTTTAAAAAATGTTAAAAAAGGAAAAAAAGTTTAAGAAAACTTTAAAAAGTTTAAAAAAAAGATGTGTAACAACAAACAAGTCTAAGAAAATATAGTGCTGAGGAGGATATTAAAAATAGGCGACAAACATACCACATTCTAAAATTGTTCCACGCTAAAATTGTATTTCACTCCTTGTATTTTGTGACATATAACTCCCAAAATAAACTGAAATCCCAGGCATATGATATACCCTATGAATTAGGACAAATAAAATAATTTATTATAATCTACTATCTGTTAGCTACACAAATTATGTACACAGTATCATTAACAAAACTGTGATTTTTTTTTCTTCTTTTTTTGCATTTGTTTGTATTTTTATAAAAATAAAATAAGAAATTATATATGCATATGTCACATCAAATTAAGCCTATTTTGTCCTTTACAAAATGGTATATAATATGTGTAGGTGTAGTGCATGAGGAAGATGGAAATTATGGTTAAACAAACACATAGCAAAAACTGCAAAATTACTCTGGTCCTTTGTGTCACTAAGGGGTTAATGAAAGTTCAAATCCATCTGAATCTTGTTCAAAACAAAACTAAATAGGACATGTGACTGTTCTCTGGCCAATCAGATGTTTTTTTGGGGGCTGCTGGAGGTTGCATTACAGGCACGGTCATGTGACTTCCTGTTGTGGATCTTTCCGGAATGAAAATTCAGACAGATACCGAATCCGAGTAATGAACTGAATCAAATTTTGGAAATCCGAAAAATATAAGTAATAAAAATCCGAATCAATGTGAAACAAAACAATTTTCTTGTGGAGTTAAATGTCTAAAAATAAATTTGATATTGTATGAATAAATCTGTATGTATGCAGCTCTGTAGCTGCATGAACTTGTGTCTTTTATATCTCTCTAGAGTTCACCTTTAATGTTTATTCAGTGAAAGGCTGATGACAGGTGGAAGATCTAACATGCAATGTTTCTCTTTACTTACATGCACGCTTGACGTGTCTCCACCCTGCTGATCTGCATTAGTTCAGCCTCAAATCACCGGTCTCTTCTCCTCCTTCTCACCTTGGGGGAAAGGTGATCAGTTTCCCATACCTTTCTGTGCAACATATCCTGGAAACTGATCTCACTGCCCCACACCTGTTTGAAAGAAGTAAACCATCTCTATAATGTTCAGTACTGAGCTCACACAGCTGGGTGAGAGAGAATCAGCTTCATGTGTCACATTTCCTGTTTGATATCACCGATGCATACTGTGGCAGGTGCTCATAAAGACCATTGTTATGCCACTTATAACAAAGATTGTCACCTGCTGAGAACCTGCTGCTGGCAATGGCAGGTGGACCTTGGGGCCCTATATGGCTTTTGAATCACTTTGTTAAAGATTATCAATTCAATTTAAGTCATTTTTGTTTTATACCATTAGACTTCGACTAGCTAAACTGCAGACAAACAACTAAACATACATAAGAAATATACTGTATATACTGAACGGGAACAGTTTCCCCTGAAAGATTTTCACAGCTCTGCCACACAGCACAGCCCTGTCTGGCAGGGCAGAAGAACTGATTTTCTCGTCCAGGGTCAAAGGGTCAAAGGTATGGTAAAGTAATTTGAATGTTCTACAAGATTTGTATAATATGCTTACATTTTGCAGTTTCTAAATCACAATGATATATGCCTTATGTTCTAGCATTCAGGATGTGGACCACCAACAAGCATCATGACCATGGGAATCACTAATGTAAAAGGATACTGTTATAGCCATCCGTACCTCCTCTTAGCAGTCAATTCTAAACAATTACTTTTCTAACAGAAGCAACTTTTATACTATTCCAACTTGTCTTGTGACATTGCCTTTGGGAACCATCACCCCCAGACAGCAATCAAGCAAGATAGTAGATCTATTTTTACCATGTGCTTTTGGTTTATACTGTGGTACTTTTTGGTTTATACTATGATGAGCATTAATGTTTCTTCTTTTAGACTTTGTCCTTCAATTCAGATTTTTGGAAAAAAGCCTAAAAGATAAAACCGGCCAGGTGTGGTCATGTTAGTTAGATTGTACATGTTTTATGAATGTGAGTTTTTGTGAATTTAAAGTATATCTAAATCCCAAAACAAAAAGGAAATATTTTTCAGCTTAACAATCCTTAGATATGGTATCTCCATTAGTTTTCTTTATTTTCATCTGGTGATCTGGCTAGTAATGCACCTCCAATGTCTCTATGGAGTACTAGTGTAGCCACCCTTGGACAGCAGCATGTGGGCAACACAGTGGTGTAGTGGTTAGCACTTCTGCCTTGTAGCACTGGGGGTCCCTGGTACAAATACCAGCTAGGTCACTATCTACAAGAAGTTTGCATGTTCTACCTGTGCTTGCGTGGGTTTCTCAGTTTCCTCCCACACTCCAAAGACATGCTGGTAGGTTAATTGGCTCCTGTCTAATTTAGCCCTATATGTGAGATAGGAACTAGGGTGCACCGATACCGTTTTTTCGGTATCGAGTACGATATTTTTTTTTGCGGTACTCGCCAATACCGAATACCTATAGTGGATGTCTCATTAAGGAAGCAAGGCGGCGTGTAATGACTCTCCACCTGGCTTCCTGATTAGCCGGGAAGTACTCGCCCAAATACTCGGCAACGGCACTGATACCAATACTAGTATCGGTGCATCCCTAATAGGAATTTTAGATTGTAAGCTTCTTGAGGGCAGGGATTGGTGTGCATGTGAGCTGTGTAAATTGTCGGTGCTATATAAATACCTGTAATAAATAAATTGTCAGCCTGGGTAATGTTAGATGGACTTTACTTCAGCTTAAAATAAGGAGTTCAAATGATTAAAAAAAGAAAAGTGTGCAGTTGTTTCTTGAAGGATATCAGTTTATATGATATTGTTTATACGTTTAATGTGCCTTATTGTGCTGTAAAAAAAGAAACTGCATTTTTTTTAGTGATTATACCTTCTCATAATCACTACTGAAATGTGTATTTAAAATGAATTATTAATATAACTCGCATACTTGATATGGTTGTTCTTCAAAAATTATTAATCACTTTTATTTACAGATTTGTAGATTCTCCGTAGTAGCTGCTTGTATGCTGGAAAGGAGTGGCATCAAACACTGGCAGAAATTAACAAATGGCAGAAATTAACTGACAGGGGTTTTAACTGTTCCCATCTCTATCAAAGCTGAAAAAGTGCTGCCTATACATAGTAAACACATTTTTCATTTGTGAGTGGATGCAGTTACCCAGTTACACAGAAACACTGAGGTTGATTTAATAAAGGATTTGATAATGTTTACACAATGCAGATTCACTTTATTTATCCAATCATGTGCAGATAAAAATAAGTAAACATAGATTTTTCTTTCACATGACTGGATACATGCATTGTCACATGTTTTATTGTGTGAGCATTCTTAAATCCTTTAGTAAATCAACCTAATTATGTTTATTTATATTCTATGAATAAAAATAACCGTTGGTGACTTTTTTTAAAAGGCCGAAATGTACTGATTTATTTTAAAATTAGTTTGTATTTAAAATCTGTGCCTTTTTGTCTTCATTATATTAAAGTGACACTAAACTCAGGAGTTAAATCTTAAAATTACATTGAAGTACCTTAACTATTACCAAAAATGTATTTGTGCCTCACTGAGCTGTAGATCCTCAAATCATCTCTGAATGGGTGCTGATACTGTCCTTCCTTCTGGAGGGTGGCTACTTGTGTTTCCCAAGGTCCCCGTGTGTGTTCTAAAGTAGTCACCACTCCAAGCTCTCTCCTATGATGGACTACAATCTCAATACAATTTATTAAACTAAACCTGAGATTGTAGTTCATCACAGGCGTGAGCTTGGAGCGGTGACTACTTTACAACACACACAGGGACCATGGGGAACAAAAGTAACCACCCTCGAGTAGGAAGTACAGTGTAAGCGCCAATTCAGAAATTATTTCAGGACCTACAGCCGAGTGATACACAAATGAGATACATTATTTTACAGCATTTTTATGATTTTACTCCTGTTTTAGTGTCACTTTAAAGTTTTGATTTTTGCTTTTGCCAGCTCCCACAAAATTAAATGTTACATAATTCAAAATATACATGTTTATTTTTTAAACTTCAGAAGCTGCAATCTCTTCTTCAAAGCTGACTTCACATCTTTGTTTTTAAGGCTGTAGATGAGAGGGTTCAATATGGGGACAGCCGCTGTGTTAAACAGGGAGAGTAGCTTATTGTACTCTAGACTATCGGCTGTAATGGGTTTTAAGTATTGGTAGATTAAGGTAGTATAGAGAAGGATGACAACTGTGAGGTGTGAGGAACATGTGTAGAAAGCTTTACGTCTTCCTGTGCTGGAATGAATCCTTAGTATGGCAGTGATTATAAAAACGTAGGACAGAACAGTTAACAAGAAAGGACCAAGAGCCAGCAGGACTACCCCTTCAACTATGAATAAAATCTCCAGAACCGAAGTGTTGCTGCAAGAGAGTTTTATGACTGGCACAAGGTCACAAAAGAAGTGGTTGACTATGTTAGATCCGTAACAGGAAAAGCCAGTAACCAAAACAGCATATGGTAATATTTCTATAAAACCAAGAGACCAACAGACGGAGGCCAGAAGAGTGCAGGTCCTGTGATTCATGATAACTGTGTATCTCAAAGGATTACACACTGCTACATATCTGTCATAACTCATTGCAGTAAGGAACAATAGTTCATCACTAATGAAGCTTCCAAAGAAATATATCTGGGCTATGCAACTGAAGTATGAAATTGCTTGATCCCCAGTTAGACCTATAAGAAGGATCTTGTGTAGAGTGACAGTTGTAGAGCACATATCAATCATGGATAGATTTACCAAGAAAAAGTACATGGGGGTGTGGAGATGATGATCCAGGCAGACCAGCAGAAAAATTGTCATATTTCCACCAACAGTGAAGAGATAAATAAAAAGAACCAGAAGGAAGATCGGAGCCTGCAACTCTGGAATGTCTGAAATTCCTTTTATGATGAAAAATGTCACCATGGTTTGATTGTCTTGTTCCATTTGATAACATTTATCTGACCAAGGTCTGTGTGTTTAAAGAAGAAAGCTTGGTTTCTATTGAACTTAAAGTGACACTAAACTCAGAAGTTAAATCTAAAATGCATTCAAGTACCCTAAATACTAACAAAACTCTACCTTATTTGTGCATCACTTGGCTGTAGATCCTTAAATCATCTCTAAATTCATGCTGACACTGTCCTTCCTTCTGGAGGGTGGCTACCTTTGTTCCCCATGGTCCCTATGTGTGTTGTAAAGTAGCCACTGCTCCAAGCTTGGACTACAATCTCAATACAAACTAGCAAACTAAACATGAGTAGTCTTTCACAGGAGCGAGCTTGAAGCGGTGGCTACTTTACAACACACACAGGGTAGGGACCATGGGGAACAAAAGTAGCCAACCTCCAGAAGGAAGGACAGTGTCCATAGACTTGCATTGAGTTCATGTTCGAATTTGAACTTTTCCCAAGTTCGAATTTGAACCGAACATGGGGATGTTCGGCTTATGACTAGTATAAACATCTACAATCTAAACTCCTGTGATAGGGTGAAGCAGACTTTGCCCTCCCCCCCCTATATTTCATTGCATGGGCACTGAGGCTTTGGTAGTGTTGGATTAAGGAATGGGAGGAGCAAAGACAAGGTTGTAGTGCTGTTCCTTCATTGTGTCTGTTTGTTATTTCCCTCCTGGTTGTCTTTAATAACTTTTAGAGGGAATTAGATTAGCATTTGCATAATTGGAGTCTAGGAGGTGTTAATAACCTGCCCAGAGAGAGGTGGTAAAACAGCATTGTATGTGGCAGACAATAGATGTCTCACACATGTGTATACATTTGGAGTATAAAGTTTGAACCATTCTATGACTACGTTGTTTGCTTTTTTCCAATATATATCAAACTATGCACATAGTTATCTGAATGACCTTAGTGATATAGTCGCCCCTTACAGTGGTCATTCAGGCAGCCAGGCAGACTCCGACAAAACTGTATGGATCCTTTACAGCTGTAGAACAACTCTGAACTGTCAGCATGTAGCAGGAAGTAGCCCGCTATATGCTGTATTTGGGTCACTAGAGTACATTAGTAAATGTACTCTTGTGACCCAAAAGAGAAATAAATCCCCAAAAAAGTTTCAGCGTTATTCTCTTGTATTTTGAATAATTCGGGGAAATGTTAAGGAGATTGCACAATCAGATTGTGACATGTATGGCCTACTTTACCCTAATGATAGGTCTTGTATACTTATATTGAAGGTGATATCACTCTGATGAGAATCTTGTCTTAGGAATTATGACAACTGGTGATTGTACAATATCTAACCTTTATACCTTTATAACATGAGCTAAGTGCAGCTGTGGTTTTTGCACCATTAGGAAATTATTATACCCTTCTTTGGCAATGGATTTTCTGATTCATAGGAGTGAAGTTTTTTCACTTAGACTCAAGTGGGTTATTTGAGCCCCTTGAGCTGGTTTTTGGTTTTGAGCTCCTTGAGCTAGAGAGCAAATCAGGAATAGCTATAACATTTATATGAAATGTACAGGATTATCTATCTATCTATCTATCTATCTATCTATCTATCTATCTATCTATCTATCTATCTATCTATCTATCTATCTATCCATCTATCTATCTATCTATCTTTTAAGACACATTTTATGAAGTAGCCATCAGTAGTCATTGATAAGTTATATGACATATTTTGCTCTTGATCAAGAGAGAAGGTAACCACATACTCCATGTTTTTCAAACTCAAGGGGACACCCTCCACTTTCAAAGGAAAGTGTA